GTCAACAGTAACATGCACAGTGCTAGCCATGGATTCCACCAACTTCTGTTACAAAGCCTGCAAGCTTTGCGAAAGGGCTCTCCCCGATCATCCCCTAAATTCATCCTGCACAGCCTGCAAGTCTAAGTTCCCCGCCTCTTTCCCCTCCCACCAACACTTGTTTCGCCTCTTGTAAGTAAATACTATTTATTTTCCCTAATTTGCGTAGAGTTACTGCGTTTATTCTGTTTGTTTCCATGAAAAAATTTTCTTGCTTTTTGTAAATGGAAATAGGGAAAATGGTGCCCCTTGGTAGTTCTTTGTTATACGTCGTAATTGATCATCTGGAAAGTGGATTTTAATGGGGAAATTAGTGATCGTGGGGGGGTTCTGTTTGTTTCTGGGTATGTATTTCTGAGAAATGCAGATGAAATTCTGGTATTTTTGGCCTTTAAGTTTTTATTTTTTGTGGATGTCTTTTGGCAGCTGTCAATTGCAACCGATACAAAGGTAATGGTGGTGATATGCTTTGATAGGGCTGCTAAAGTTTTGTTTGGCTGCTCTGCTCATGAGTTCTTAGACTTCGCAAAGATTCATCCTTTTGCTGGTAACTCTTAACCAACCCCTCTTGTTTCTTATTCTGAAATCATCCTTTGATTTTGAGATTTTTATAAAAATTCATGCTTTTGAAAAGTATGTTTTGATTTCCTTTTCTTATATTTCTTTGGCATTCAAAACAAGAACAGCTATTCTTAGATTGATAATTTTTACTTTGCATTAAGTTCATGCTAGAAAAAAAGAAGAGCAACTATCATTTTTCTGCCTAAAAAGTGGGATGGCAAGACCATATTGAAATTAACAGGCCTACAGGATATGAATCCCTATTTTCCTTGTCCCTTATTTGTTTGAGCTATGAGTATGACATGAGTGGAGTCTTATTCTGGTTCTTAAACTCAAGTAGGTGGTTTTGCACAAATCTGTTCTTCTTTTTTGTTCCTAGGTTTGTGCCTGGAACTGGAAGTGTGTTTAATAATCCAAATCACTTATTTCCTGTGGGATGTTTCATGCAGCTGAAAATGCAAGTAAAGTTCTGGAGGGAGAGATGCTCCAAATGACTTTGTCAAAACCAAAGAATCTGAATGCTCAGCATCTAAGAGCAGTGACCATAGTTCCTTTAAGGTCAGGTTTCCAGCCTGTAATTCAGGCCCTGAGAGAATTGTATGGTGCACAAGGTGGTCCTTAACCCGCCTTTCCATTTATTTTCTGTATCTGTTTAGTTTCCCTACCATTTCCAGGATAGAAATGCTTTTGTGATATCATCAATAATGTCTGAGCAAGGAGATCTTATGCAAACCGTATGTGTTAGTAGGAGTTTGATCTTATCATCAAGTTTTTGTACTTTAATATCTTGGTACTATATCTACTGTTTAATTTGTATTATTTTGAACTGTGCAGATCAATTAAAAACGTAATTGGTTGTTTCTGTGGAACTTCTGTTAATTGTGTGCTGAGAATCAATACAATACATAAACAACATGACAAACTTTTATTTGTAAATCGCTGCCCGATCAGTAGATACTTCTGCAGTGGTATATACTTGAAAGGGGCAGACAGACAGGAATTATTGAGTGTGAAGAAAATCATAATTGCATCTACAATGAGGTAATACTGGGATTAGCAGATAGTCTTTGTGTGTTGCGGAGTGCATCCGGAACATTACTTGGGATTAGGAGCTGTCCTCTCGGAGTGTTGCATAGCCAATTTCCCTTCGATCCATCGCTTCAGCATCTGCAAGGAATTTTTTGGCTGATCCATTGGAACCA